GTTTTGCTTCCGCCAGAGGCACGATTGTGCTTTCGCGAGAGGCACGGACGTGCCTCTTTCGGAAAAGGAAAAAAACGCGTTTTCTGTTTTTTTCTTTCGCGAGAGGCATGATTTTGCTTCCGCCAGAAGCACGGTTGTGCTTTCGCGAGAGGCACGGACGTGCCTCTTTCGGAGAAGAAAAAAAACGTGTTTTCTATTTTTTTTTCTTTCGCGAGAGGCACGGTTTTGCTTCCGCCAGAGGCACGGTTGTGCTTTCATCAGAGGCACGGGCGTGCCTCTTTCGAAAAGGAAAAAAACTCGTGTTTCCGGTTTGGTTTTTTCGTCGGTTTTTTTCTACCGGTTTTTTCGTGAAAAAAAAGTTCGTCAAAACCTATCAACATGGGATCTAGTTTTGAAGATCTCGACGCGAGGAATCCAATGGCGAAAGCTGTTCGAGATTTGGACCCACGGTTTAAGAGATAAAACATTTTGAATAAACGATCTACGAAAAAAAGAGAAAACTCCCGGGTTGCGACAAGTGGCGCACATGCAGCGCGGCACTTGTCGCAACCTGGGGAAGTTGGAGTAATCTCCGCAAGGAGTACTCCTTAATTAGTAATTTCGGAAAGTTGTGTCCTGCTTTCGTCGACAAAGCAAATCACCAGATAAAACGTGCAGTTTAAGCTGAATCCCTCTCCGGTGTTCACCACACATGTTTCTCTCAACAGGATATTGCATATCTTGTAAACACACTACACATACATAAAAAGAAAAAATGAGATAAAATAAAAACTGGACAAAAAAAGCAACATAAAATCAACAAAACCGAAGAAAAAATATATTGTGTTATGTTGTGTAATTTCTTTTTCAGTCACGTGTTCCAATCAAATATTGGGAGAGGCTAGGGGTAAGTCGACTGAATATTAGGGTCAGTTGAATCGTTTTCAGCTTTCAGATGCAGATCCAAAGGTGTTGATTCCTTCTTCTATTTTTTGAACTGTTTTCCTTGTTCATCTTCTACACCGAGCAGACCCCGAGCCGCCAGTTACCGAAAATCAACTGACGGCAACTTCCTTTCTTCTCAAAATCAACTGACCGAAAATGCGTTTTCAGGCATTATATATGCACATGACACGATGCAGAGAACCCTGTGGGCATGCGCTTCTTTTCATCCGCTTCGCTGCCGTGATATTTGTTCATGCATCGCTCGCCGAAAATTTCCTTTCTGACTGGCACACTAGCAGCATCTAGAGCCTTTGTGGGCACTGGAGCAGGAGCTGAATCCTTCTTCTTCTTTTTTTTTGTGAGGGAGGAGCTGAAACCTTGAACGAAAAGAACGACAGGAACAAAAAGTGCAGAAGAAGTAGCATCAATCATTCTGGAAAGGCAGGGAAGAGCAAGAATTAAGGAGATGGAAACGATCAGATCGACGTCTTTGGCGCCAGGAGGGATGCACATGAGCGCTCGTCGTGCTGGGCGGGCGCACCGGCCGGCTCGACAACAAGGGCCCCGCTTTTGTCATTGATGGCAATGCCGCACAAATCCCATGCTACCATGATCGGTCACAGATTCACGGCGCAAGGATTTCTCTACGTGTACTCGTTTCTCTCTCTCTTTATTACTTTTATTACTAGACGATCAAGTAAGGGACAGTCCCTTTCCTGTTGAAGAAAGTAGTACTACGTACTTACTTAACATCACGCTCGAAGAAAGAAAGAAAGTACAGTACTCATGTACTGCAGTGGTATCTGCGGGGCTAGCTATGGTCGTTGTTGTATGCCGACAGGCCAGAGGTGTACGGTCAAGTTGAAAAGACCTCCATGAGATTAAATCAAGGACGTCGGGTGGTGAAAACCTTTTAGCCTAGCTAGCGTCCAGACTCCAGAGACTCGCACCGATGGATAGAGCGCGTTTGCGGGATCGAAGACGTCGGTTTCACAAGGCCTATTTGTCGAAAGGGGTGGGGCGGTACGTAGACAACGTAGCAATTTCTCGGCACATGCATGGCCGCGCGGTGCATGCAACGCAGCACATGCATGTATGAAATCTTTGGATTTACCCGGCTTGATTTGACCGTACCTCGGTCGTTTTCGTTGCTAACATTATCGCCAGCGCTGATTTTATTTATTTATTTGTATGTATGTATAGCTTGCACAAGCTGTTTGATTTTACCATCACCACGTCCGTCCTTCAGACTGGCTTTCGCACCATTCGGTATCAGTGGTGAGCTATTTCAAGAACAATGAAGGCTGGCTTTCGCGAGGAATTCGTGAACCGCTAGGTTTCCATCGACTAGCTATGAACGCCAGCACCTGGCCCTGATCATGAGGGATGCCACCATGTACAATTCGGGACGGAACGGGGTGGGAATATCGGTAGACACGCCGCTGCCGAGGCATTAACGGCAGTCGGACACGGGCACATGCAGAACGAGAAAAGCTTGCGGCAGAAACGGCCGCGTTCCGGAATCGGCCTAGCGTCTGGAAAGCAAGACCGCGGCCACCCCAGTCCGGGACGGCGCGCACAGGGGCCGCTCCAGTGCGCCAACGCAGGACGTGACGACGGCGGGGCAAACGGGCGCGCCGTTGCGCCGGCCGAGGCGTTGCCAGGCTTCCCCGTTCGAGTCACTCTCGCTCGTCGCTGAGGGGCACGGGCGTGCGTGCAAACAATGCCACTGCAGCCCGTTCGATGGAATAGTCTTGTTTTTAAAGGATCAGCTGGGGCTCAATTTATTCAATCATCGGTCGTATAGTGCCTTTTGCTCCTTGCTGCATAAACATGTCCTGTGCACTGAAAGCCGGCTCGTTTTTTTACCCACTGTTCTCTCTGCTCCAGTCTAGCTAGCTAGCTAGCCAACCATTATGCATGCCTAGGTTCTAGAGCCGAGCAAGTTGTGATTTACTCCCTCGGTTTCTATAACTCATTTTAAAGATTTCAATGCGGACTACGTACCTGCAAAATGAGTGAAATTATACTCCAAAATACGTCTATATACATCTGAATGAAGTCCGTATTGAAATCTCTAAAAGGCTTATATTTAGAAACGGAGGGAGTACACCGTGTTGCATTCATCGAGTTCACCTTTTACTTATTTCGTCATGAAAAAAATTAGTAGTCACAAAAAACAAAACAAAGAAAATAAACGGTCACGACAATACCATTTGTCCAACCAGTTTTTGTCAATTTTACCGTCTTGTAAACTAATTTGCATTCCCCCCAAAAAGCTAACTTTTCTATTTCTCGTGTCTATTTTTCTGCTGCAAAGCCATAAACAAGTGTAGCACAACACATTTTAAGAGTAGCAACAGCTGGCAAACTGAGGACGTGGTTGACATCACAATAGATTATGGTAATCAAGCTTTTACATCTAGCTTTTGGCTAACCAACCTTTCCCTGCCATTTTTCTACAGCTCGCGGGTGACTGGATGTAACTAAACTCATCTTATATCTTAATGGAAAAGACATGCAATGCTCTCTTAAAAAAGAAAACGAAAAATAGCTGATTAGAGAAGTAACTTCAATACAACGCAATCGCAAACTAGCCCAACCTTACATGTTTCCGCTTCGTGTTTCTTTAATTTGGACCTACAGCGTGTTTTAAGAACAAAGGGCATGGCATGTAAGATGACTTCCATGACAAAAATTAAAAGGGCATGTAAGGTGTATTTCTTCGTAGTTCGAAGTTGTAAGGGCAAACAATCGAATGGTGCAGCGAATGAAAATGCTACTTTTTTTGACCCCGATGAAAATGCTACTCTACAATACATACTCATAAGATAGGTGCATGCATGCATGCCTGCAGCCGTAGGGAGTACAAGGCCGAGCAACATTTTAAGTTTTTGCATGAGCTGTGACCCGCCGGCTTGCGAGTTCAGTAACAAGCTTGTCCTCCCGGCAACAACAACAACAAAATGCCGAGTACCAGTACTCCCACTCATATTACCTAGTAGGTCTCCACTCCTAGTACATCTTAATTTACACACAGAACCGTACATATACGCTATCAACGCGCGCATTCGTCGCCGTACGAGCGATGCTTCAGGCTCAACGTTGATTAATGTCATTACATGCACATGTAGCACATGCGGGTGGCCGACGTAATCTCATCTTACCACGTCCCGTTCAGGCCCTGGTAGGCCGCGGCGGGGGCTGCGCCATTGGGTGACGCGCGGTGGCCGTTGGCTGCCGCCGCGCGCTCTAGGGACTGCACCTGCGTCTTGAGGAACTTCACGTAGTGGATGGCCTCGTCCAGCATAGACGCGGTGTCCATCTTGGTCCCTCCCGGGACGAGACGCTGCAGGATGCGGATGCGCTCGCTGATGCGCTCCCGCCGCATCCTCGCCGCCACGCTCTGCGGGTCCGTCGAGATGTGCACGTTGCGGCGCTTCGGGGGGCGCACCGTGTCCGGGTCGATGTTCACCGGCTGCAGCGCCGCGATGCGGAAGATCATCTCCCGCATCGCCGCCGGCCCCGTGGTGCCAGCGCCGTCGGGCTGTGGCTGCGACGTCGCTGTGTACTCGGAGCGACGATGGCCGCCGTTGTAGGGGGCGGAGTTCGGCAGCTGGGAAGAATACGGATCGTGGTAGGCCCCGCCGGCGTTGGCGCTCGCCATGTGAGGCGCCGAGGAGAACTGGTGACGAGGGGCTTGCGTGCATGGAGAAGGGGGCACCGGCATGGCGTGGTCAGGGAACGCAGTGAGCTGCTCTAGCTGCAGCATTGCGTTCATAAGCTCCAGCTGCGCCTCCGGGTGAGAGTTCAGCGTGTCGAAGTCCATCCAGAGGTTGTGCGACTCGACCTGTATCACAACTTGTTGTTTCGGGAGATGTGGATGATGAGAGAGGGCAAGAGGGCGAGGAAGCTAGCAGCTAAGCCAGAGCACAGGTGTAAAAGGGCTGTGTTGCTTAGCTAGTTGTAAGCAGAAAGGCGCTATTTATAGGGAATGGGCAGGGCCTAGGGCGCAGGTTCCTCCAGATTTGATTTGACTGCCCATCATCCGTTCCCAGAATGCATACCGGTGTCCCATTGAGCCAGTGAGGAGCTGCCACCAGGGTATAGGTATTTTTTTTTTTGAAAGGAGGATATACCCCGGCAGCTGTATCTGAAAGATGCATGCAACCATTTTATTAATTTTTCATGTTATAATTTTTGAAAAGGAGGGTATAGGTAATTTGATTTGAAAGGCATTTTTCATGTTATAATTTTTGTGACATACTATTACTTACATTTTATTAATTTAGATCTATGGTTAAATCCGTACCGAGGGACTACATGGAGCGTTTATTTCCCATATATTCACTTTCGTCCCATTTATGCATTCAACATTTCCCAATTCAATAGACTAAACACCGACTAATCAAAACACCGCTTCAGTCTATCGTGGGTTAGCGAGAGAGGAGCTCCCACACGCATCGACGTGCCGCTGGCCACTCCGTCCACGGTGGCCAACCCACCCCACCCCCTCCCAGTCGGCCGCCCACTCAGGCCACCGCTCCTCCCCAAGCCTTGTTGCTACCCTCTCTGGGATCCCGCGTTGCCTACAGTCAACCTTGGATGGCGCAACCCCGAGTAGGCGAGGGACGAGACTTCTTCCTCCGGTCCGTCAGAGGTCCAGGAAACACTTATGTCTCCTAAGGTTCGGG